ATAAAAATGGTCAAAGTTATAAGAATTGTAATTTTAGAACAGCTTATGTGGGGGGATTTTGGGGAGGGTTCCTTGGGACATTGGTGAAGGGAAACAGGCTCTCTGATAGTGAGTGGGTGAGATGTTGGAATGTATGCATCCATGAAAAGTATCAGTAACACATCATAAACCCAAGTACCTCAATAAAAATTATTTTTAAAGATGCCTATTCACTTAGACCCTATGCTTAGCTTCATGTAACCCTCCTGTAAAATATAAACTGTCGTTTTTGAATGCTCTAATTTGACCAGTTTTACTATTATTATATTGACAATGTATCTCCAAATCTACTTCTTAGATTTTAAGTCTCTACTTAAAAGCAATCCTCTACTTTTGAACGTTAAACTAATTGCTCTCTAAGTTTCTATTGCCTCATGTATGAAGAGAGTGTTCCTGTTTTATATGAGTATTGCATGTCCTCTACACCACTGATGTATCAAGAATAGCATACCACATTTGGTGGGATATTAAATAGAAGGCAACCAATCTTGAAAATAAATGACATATTAGCACGAAAGGCTCAACATTTAACAACATGTTAGTAATCTCTCATACAAGGACTTTATCGATCCAGGTTGAAATACAACAATCTTCACACACTTTTCTTTGAGGAAACTTTTTTGGATCATTTTTAGCATGTTATTCATAACAAGCATACAAAATAAATTATTTGGGTTCTGTTTTGAGGGCAGACTTCAGGGGTTGGGGTGGAAAAATTTGAAATACGGTGGTGGGAAGGTGCAATGGTGGTAAGATTGCTGTTGGGATATTGAATGTAATCAATTATTGTATACACCTTTATAAAAATAAAATTAAATTACAAAAAGATTATTGTATGTCTTAATGTACACAGCAATGTAGTGCAGTTACAACACATACCAAATACTTGATATAAGGTTGATTTCTTATTACAGCTTTCTCTTCTTTCAGCTTTTATTCTACACCTGATGAAAGTCCAGCTGAGCTGTTACCTTGCCCATTTCCCTTCAACTCACCTATTGAGGACTCTTCTTTCAAGACCTAGTCTACTTTAACACCCTGACTTAATCTTCAAATGGGTAACATTTTATTCAGTGTGGCACTCTAAATACTCCTTTAAGTAGGACCTCCATAATACTCTTAAACTTTTTTTCTAATTTAATTTTCATTCATCTCTGCCTTAGTTCTGTTCTTTCCATAGAGTGGACCATCGTGATTGTCTTTAACCAGATCTTAAGCTTCCCCTTACCTATACCCTACAAACACATCAGGGACACATAAAGGGATAGAGAATACTATAGCATAAAATACTATACTAAAATACTAAAATACATAAAATACTATAGCATAGAATACTATAGCATAAAACGGGTTGTATTTTCTTTATTTATCAGGGGAGAAAGTGTATTGTTATTTCTGTTGTTATTAGTTTTTGTCACTGGATTCTTTTCATCCCTAAAGGATATTCCTTAATTTTTAGCTCAGTATATGACTTCAAATTTTGTCCCCATGTAAACATTTGCCCAACACAACCCCACACCTGATATCTTCACTTTTCCTCAACTTTTTGAATCAAAGCCATTTTATCTCTACTCATCTTTCATCTACTTGAACTTTGGATGAACTCTGATTAGTTTTACCTCAGTCTCACTCTGATATTTCCCACTCCTATTAAGTCCGTATTACTTCTGAATCTTGGCTTCCAAAATCTTGACAACTAATACTTTATATAGTTCATTAGTACCTTCTAGATTATTTGAATCTTTTCAATCCTAATGCAACCTTTATGGAAAAGCTCAAGTCTCCAATGTAGCTATATTCTCCACCAATAAAGTAACCATAATCCACTTCTTACTTAACTCCACTTATACTTGGGAAGAAATAATCAGGATAGTACTGATTGGGCATGTTCAAATCTAGTTCTTATTTTGTCTAGTGACCATACATGTTTCTGTACATTGTTGATTATATGGCTTATGCCTACAGTTGTTTATGTTACATATTCACCATCCTGTTCCAGTCTCAAAATAAATTCAATTCTTTCTATTTAAGTCAACTCCAAAAGGGTCTTAAAGATAGTACAGTAGACAGGATGCTTGCCTTGCACTCTGCCAACCCAGAACAATCCCTGGGGAATAATCCCTGATCAGCATCAGATACACCTCTCTCACTTTAGCCACTGGAAACAACTTTTCCATGGGTTTCCTTTTATCTCTCTTCCTGCCCTCTCTTTTAATTGTTGCTTCACCTTGTTTTAGGGCCATACCTGGTGGTGCTCAGAGCTTACTTCTAGTTCTGTGTTCAAGGGCCACTCCTGGTTGAGCTCTGGGATCCACACAGGGTGCCTGGGATCAAATCTGGGTCGGCTTCATGCAAGGCAAGTGCCTTATCTGCTATACTGTGGCTCTGGCCCTCTTCCTGCCCTTTCAAAGTATGTTTTCTCTCCATCTCCTGTTTCATGGGTTTCATTTTGTGCTCTTAATATCATTTCTTGCTTTTCTGTATTCCTCTAATTTCCTCTAACCAGTCATTACCTTGTATCTTTTTTATTCAAATTTTTATTAGTGAAACACCACGAGGTACAGTTGTAGACTTACAAATTTTCGTGCTTGGGTTTCAGTTATACAACTTCATTGTATCTTAAACTTCTTTTCCCCTTTGGTTTTAAGACAGCCTATGATCAACCTTGTTGGAACCTTAACTTTTCTCAGACTATGAAAAAAATCTGCAGCCTCATTCTCCACTTCATCCAGATCACTTTTAATCCTATTCTGATCCTCTTTGTTAAAACACTATTTTCAGAGAACTCTTCTTAAAAACATAATGCCTTTTTCTTAGTATGTAGTCTTCCTAACCTTTTATGGAAAACAATAAAAGTATTAATTAGCTCTCTTTATGAGAACATTCACTTCTCTTCTTTATATGACTAAATCCAACACAATCTCCTCTAATCACAGTCTTAGTGAACTACTTAAATTCCCTGAGCCTGAATGTACTCACTGATAAAACTGAGGTAATAAAAATTCCATCCTCAATGCATTCTAAGGAAAACAACATTCAATATCATTATTTACCTTACATCAAACTCTAATTATGATCTTGGCTCTCCAACACACAGTACATTATATATGACATGTAATACATATTATATATAATTAACAAAACATAATAACACTCAAATTTCTCTATGAGATAGATGTTAATTCCTCATTTCCAAATGAGGAAACTAAAATATTTAAAGTTTAATATGTATACTTAAGTTCCCACTGTCAATATTTACTATAATCAAGATTCCAAATAAGGTACATTGGACTCAATGTCCATATTTTTATTTATTTATTTTTGTTTTTTGGTCACATATGGCGATGCACAGGGGTTACTCCTGGCTCATGCACTCAGGAATTACTTCTGGTGGTGCTCAAGGGACCATATATGATGCTGGGAATCGAACTTGGGTTGGCCACATGCAAAGCAAACACCTTACCTACCGTGCTATTACTCCAGCCCCTGTCCATATTTTTATCTATTAGATTATACTGTTTCCAAATCAGATGTAAGAGTCTAAATTTGAAGGAGTTATGTAAAGTCATTTATTATTAGCTTAATATCTTTGGTATATTCATTACTTCAGAATGTACAAAAATAGAACTATCAAGTAGTTACTGCTTCTCCTCTATACTTTTTTACATTTGTCCTCAAATCAAATAAATAAACAACAGTCATTTAGATAATACTATTTAAAACTCTATTCTGGATTTCAAAAGTACCACAGAGATAAAATTAAGGCTTTGGATGGTCTCTTTTTTAAGTTCTACACTGTGGTTATTCAAGGGAAAAGGAAAGAGCATACTTCATCTCATCTATGGTTGGACAAAGTCACATGACAATAAGAGTAAGTAGGAAAGATGTCCCTTCTTGACTGTAATATTTTACTGCTGAAAAGCATATCTTTACTGTATCTTGACAATGAATAATATTGTAATTTTTTTGCTTTTTTGGGGTCACACCTGGAAATGCTTTGGGGTTACTCCTGGTTCTGCACTCAGGAATCACACCCGGCAGTGATGGGGGACCATATGAGATGCCAGGAATCGAACCCAGGTCAGCCACGTGCAAGGCAAACACCTTACCCATTGTACTATTGTACATTGTACATTGTATTTTGTACCCATTGTACCATAATATTAAATAATATTATTTAGAATACAATATTATTTAGAATAATAATATATAGAATATATATAGAATAAATAATATTTATATATAAATAATATTCTGAACAGTGAGTTTCTGCTCATTGGACTCCAGTGCAGCATCTCAGTGACAATCAATACATAAGCTTTGTAGGAAACAAGCTTATATTCACCTTAAGTCACAGAAATTTGGGCATTACATGTAACTGCAACATAGATCTTCCTGATGGATGTAGATTCATAGATTACTAATGAATTTCTAAAGTTTCTGTAGTTAGAAAATCTCATTTCCCTCCTCTAAATGCTAAAATCTTCCATTGGATCCAGCTTGCTTCCTGAATCATTGCCTCAAAATTGAGACAATATTTTCCTAGGAGACAAAATAAAACAAAGGTGTGACCTGTCTAGTTTGGTTTATATTTTATGCCTTGGTGAAGAGAGGATCCTTACTAATTTCACTTATTTCATAACCAACAGAAGCAGCCTATACTTATCTCAGCCCCACCCCCGAGAAATGAATTCTGACAATGCTTACTAGTCACAGCCTTGATAAACAATGAAGTTTAGAGTTTTAATAGTGTTCCCCTTTGGGGCAGACAGAAAAGTACTTCCACCTCAATCAATCAACTTGCTGACCAAATGGGAAGTAATAATTAACTGATGAGAACTGTACCACCCAACGTGTAAGCGCAGGATGACTTCACATGAAAGGCGGAGCTACAGAGTGTTACCATATAAACATGGCCCCTTTCCTTGGTCATGGCTGTTAGCTGTTGTGACAATTCTGAACAGCCTGTGTGTCACAGTCATCTCCACCATGAAAATCGTTGGAGGTCTCCTTCTGCTCTGCACATTATCCCATTTTTATAGCAGCTCTGGTGAGTTAAGTACAGAGAGTGCCTTAACTGCATTTTAATCTTTTCTTATCCCATGAGAATACCCTCTATTGAGTTATTCTAAGAGTACCTGATAGAAATATTTGTTTTAGTGAATTTGTGATATACTGGTTTGTAAAAGAAACAGTCTTTTATTATGAACTAGGAAGGGGTAGTTTTCAGTCTCAGCCAGAGTTGATGGATTTTGTTCTAATGCTACCATTTTTAAGGTTTTGTAGTTTCACTCTAGAACAATAAAAATGAACTTACTTACATCATAATTTGACCATATTATAAAGATATTGAAAGCTTCTGGTGTTTTTAACTCTATAAAAATGCAGAAAAACTTGGACATAATAATACAGAAGGATCAAAATGCAACAGGTTTACAAAAGTAAAGCATCAGCCAGAAGAAATACAGTATTGCTCTAGCAGTGTTTTACAAAGTGCCCACCGCCCACATGCTGGAATGATCAGGATGGGAGGGGAAGACTCTTAGTATTCTTCAGTACAATCGGGAAAGGAATACTTTCTATTTTTTCTCTTAAATAAGGTAGATATGCAAAGAGGTGCTGAGAGTTTTTTGTTTTGTTTTGAAAGTAAAAAAAGAGAAAACAATTTTGGGAGCTTCTGCTTTAAAGAATCAAATATCCATTACTCACTGAGATTTCAAGACTACATTGTTAGCTACTGTTTGCTTATTTGGAAGCCGCATCTAGTGGTGTTCAGGGCTTACTAATCCAGGTCAGCAGTGTGCAATGCAAGCGCTTTACCCACTATACTACTTCTCCAGCCCCGGATTTTGCATTAATTTGAACATTTCCATCTATATCTCTCTTTCAGAAGCTGCTAGTCTGCCTTTAAAAACAGTGAGTATATTGAATTACATCTAATTTCTATTAACATTTAGTTAATAAACATCGGTGAAATATAAAATTATTTCAGTGTATTTAAGGGAGAACTAATGATACAGATAGAGCCATCACCTTTGTTTTCTAGCAGGCAAAGAAATTTGTGAATACCACATACCACAGTTTAAAAATATGTTTTACTGTTGAAGGAGAGAGAAATACTTTCAACCGAGAGGTTGATTATAAACATTAGAGAAGGGACAAAATATGCAAAGCAGACAGAGTAAAGTTGGTTAATTTTACGTTATATGCTTTTATGTTAAACAAGCTTTCCTGCCTTAATGTCTCTCATCTCCAAATTAAGGTAATATTACAGACGCCCTCTCAGGTGTCTCTAAGAGGGTTCTTCTAAGGATTAAACAAAGAAAAATAACATAAGATTTAAGTTTAATGCTTTGCATAGAGATAGTCATATTTTATTAGATTAATCTCATTATAATATAGCACTAACAGCATTTATCATCATGGTTAATATAATTTCTAATAGAAGCAGTCACTACAGCATCATTATAATTCAAATAAGACTTTGAGGCAGGTATTTTGCTTCCTTTACATTAAAGGCTTAGATAGCGTAATTTGGAAGCCAGGAAAAAAGCAAAACATTCTCTTCTGTCTCTCACAGGTAGACTGCAACATTTATAAGAAGTACCCAGTAGTGGCCATTCCTTGCCCCATCACCTACCTGCCTGTTTGTGGTTCTGACTACATCACCTATGGGAATGAATGTCACTTATGTACTGAGATCTTGTGAGTATCACAGGGGAAGAAAAACAGAATATGGGGCAATTGTGTCTCTTGCTACGAGCCTGCTTAGAGATTCACAAGCCATATTCACAAATCATATTCATTCTCAGAAAGAAAACCTTGGTCAAAATAGGGAAGATATTCATTGCCTCACAATCGTACTACAGCAGCATCAAGGCCAGTTTAGATTGGTTCTGTAGATGACAGAACCCACAATTCCACTATGCCAACAAGAGTATATTAAGAGTATGAATTTTAAAAGTCCTGTCCTCAGAGCCCAGAAATGCTGTAGGAACAAGGAAAAGATCATCAAAGGGTATCATTCTGGGCAGTCCCCAAATTTTATTATTTTTTAATTTTTAGTGGGGAATTTAAAATAATATTTTGTTTGAAAAAAGGTTCCTGAAACCCCACACTGAAAAATAATTGAAAATTACTACATGACTTCTAAAATATGTAGTGACCAAAGTGTAACTTGATCATTAGAGTATGGATCTGAAGGCCCTTTTATGTTCCTGTGTCCTAGAGATTCTGGGTTTCTGTAGTCTTGAGAATAATGATTTATTATTTTAAAGCATGTTATTGATCACCCTGAACCCTGGGATGGGTAGAAGTAGCAATTGAGGTGGAAATAATCCTGACCGAGGGAAACTGGCCTTTGTCAGAATCAAGGACGTGCTTTTCACATATCTCAACTTACTTTCCTGAAAAACGCCATAGTTCCCCTCAGCCCTAATAGTACTTAAAATGTCCTCTTGCTCTAATTAATCTCGTTAACTTTGTATTTTCCTAGAAAAACTGATGGAAAGGTTCAGTTTCTTCATGAAGGAAGATGTTAAGTCGCTATGAATGTGGACACAGAGCAATGGCATTTCTCTTATCTGCACTCCCACCCCTTTTTTGCCTCTTCCTTCATCTTGATCAAGGTTCAGAATGAAGGATGAGCTGAATTCCAACTTCTTTGAGTGTATTAAATTGTTGTACTCCCCTCAACACTGACAGGCTTCATTTGATGTTGTAATAAAATAATCTCCCCAGAGAGTCTCTCTTTACTTCTGTTTGGATTTGTTCCTCAAATCAGGTATCTAAGTTTCAAAGAAAACTAGGGAACATAAAAATATTAATGTTCTGGAGAAAGATGTGTTCAGAAAGATCCAAGTGACATCTGAGAAACAGTGCATGTACACACACACACACAATCAAATACTGATACAAGCACACTCACAAATCATTGTCACTATCATCCTGTTGTTCATCGATTTCCTTGAGCAGGCACCAGTAACATCTCCTTCGTCCTAGCCCTGAGATTTCAGAAAGTGCCACATATGAGGCTCTTTCAGGGTCAGGACAATGAGATCCATCATTGTTGCTGGTTTTTGGCAAATTCAATACACCACAGGGAGTTTGCCAGACTCTGTCATGCCCGCCAGGTTCTCAAGAGTGAGAACTAGATAGTAAGATGTCGCCTGGCCTTGAATGTGGACGCGCACTTCCAGGAGCTGGGTTTTATAGTCTCGGGGTCTTGTTGATACCATTGATCTGATTACATGGCACCAGAAGGCAGTTGGTGGGTATAATGCCTACATACTGGAAGATGGAAAATCTGGGTGGAGGAGGCCCAGTCCCAATCCAAGCAGGCTTGGAGATCTAAGCCCCTGGTCCCACACACCTGGGTTCCTCTGCCAGTTCCTTCATGCGTGAGGCTTGTCCAAACATGTGGAGAGTGGTCTTAAGCATGGCTTTGGCTGGAACCGGAGGTCTTCTGCTGCCGGGGCTCTCACAAATACCCATGCACATTTACTCATACAGACACACAAATAATCTCCTGGACACCCTGACCTTTTCTGGATTCTACTTTGCAAAAGCGCACTGGTTCCTTGTATTGTATTTTTTTCCAATATCTTGAAAGAAAATCTCTATTATACAAAGTGCTCACTCAAGGGAAGGTGTTCCTACCCAATTTCTCTTCAAAAACATTACACAAGTTATCTTCTTATTTCTCTCCCTTGGTATTCTGCTGTATAAGCCTCAACAGAAAAATCTAGGACTGAATGCTACATTGCTTGAGATTCTCTCAAGATTTGCCTATCATATTTGTCAAAAGTGTACACCATTACTTACCAAGGAAATGTTGGCAATATTACGTTGAACATTATTTTGTTTTAAATACAGGTACATATTATGGATTCTAAGTAATGAAGCTAGAGTTTATTGTATAGACTATGCTTCCATGACCATAGCATTTTTTTAATAATTTTTATTAGTGAGACACCATGAGCTACAGTTGTAGATTTACAAATTTTTGTGCTTGGGATTCAATTATACAATGATCAAATACCCATCCCTCCACCAGTCCTCATTTCCCACCACCACGGATCCCAGCATTCCTCCAATCTCCCATTCCCCCCCCCACCATCCCACCCTGCCTCTGTGGCAGAGCATTCCCTTTTGTTCTCTCTCTCCTCTTGCATGTTGTGGTTTGCAAAAGAGGCAATGGGTGGCAATCATGTTTGGTCTATATAGCATTTTGATGAAGCCTCTATTAATGGGCATTCACAAGATATTAGTAACTTAGACAGAATATTATTTACTTCCACATTTTCTCCTCCCCATATTTAGCTCTCTCCTCACTTGATCCAGAATTATTTTTGGCCAAAAAATGTTAATGCAAGATATAAGGACTATTAAAATCTTATCTTCTCAGTATTCAGTCACTTGATCGCTTGACTTCCCATTAATCATCGATTTGCTCAAGCGGGCGCCAGTAACGTCTCCATTTGTCCCTGTTGCGTGCTAGTGTAGCCCAATGGCATCTGTTCGTTCTAGGAACACAAAGAGCCTCAAACCGATCGTTCATGATCGCGATGAAGAAGTCTGACCATCTGGTAGGTGGGCGGCCTTGTGGTCTTTTGATGTCCTGTGGAATCCAGTCGGTAACAGCTCTGGTCCAGCGGTCGTCTCTAAATCTCATTATGTGTCCAGCCCATCTGATTTTTGATGACTTGGCAAATGAGACAGTGTCCCTGATTCTTGATCATCGGAGATCAGGACTCCGGATCTTTCTCTCATTTGAGTGAAACGTGATACTCCAAGCATAGCTCTTTCAATTCCTCTTTGGGAGACTCAAATAGCATTCTCATCCTGTTTGTGTAGGACCCAGGTCTCTGAGGCGTATGTTAATGCAGGAAGAACAGTGGAATCAAAGAGATGTGCCAGGAGCCGGAGGTTCTTCATCTTCTTAGCTATTTCTTCGATGCTCTTGAAAGCGTTCCAAGCCTCTCTCTTCCTCCTGCACAACTCAGGTGCCAGGTCATTCGTCATGTTGACTTCTCGACTTAGGTACACATATCTTTTGCATTTGGAGATGGTCGTTCCGTTGAGAATGAATGGAGCGTCAGGAACGAGGCTGTTTCTCATAAACATTGTCTTTGTAAGATTCAGCTGTAGTCCTACCTTTCCACACTCACGGTCAAAGTCGGCCACATTTGTGCCGCTTGGCTAATGTTTGGTGTTATTAGAACAATGTCATCAGCAAAGTAGAGGTGGTGTAGTTGCCGACCATCTATCTTCACTCCCATTCCTTCCCATTCCAGTCATCGCATGATGTTCTCAAGGGTGGCACTGAAGTGTTTCGGTGAAATGGTATCACCTGCAGAACCCCTCTCTTGACATTGATGATTACTTCTTTGTAGAATGGTGAGATCCTGGTAGTGAATCCGCAATACAGCTCACGGAGGATCTTGATGTATTGGGCTTGAATGCCCTGATTGGTTAGGGCTTCAATGACCGCTTCCATCTCAAAAGAATCAAAGGCCTTCTTTAAATCAATGAACATTAGACAGAGTGGCATCTTGAAATCCCGAGAAACCTCAATGAGCTTGGTTATCGTGTGAATATGGTCGATGGTGCTGAATCCTTTGCGGAACCTGGCTTGCTCACATGGTTGTCCTTCATCTAGTGTTCTGCCAATCCTATTCAGGATGACTTGAGTGAACAACTTGTAGATGACAGAAAATAGGCAGATTGGGCGATAGTTGCCAATGTCGTGGATATCTCTCTTCTTGTACAGTAGTACAGTCCTGCTGGTTTTCCACTGGGACGGAAGCTTGCATTCAGACAGGTAGCATGTGAAGAGCCGAGCCAGCGGATTGATGAGTGCTGATGGCAGGTTCTTTAGGTGCTCAGGTCTGACCTTGTCTGGGTCGGTGCTGTTCATTTCTTAACCAATGAAATGGCATGTTGGATTTCGGAAGGGAGAACATTGGGAATGACATATCCATCCTGTGGAATTTGGTATGTGGGCAGGTGGACATGGTGATTGAAGAGATCTGAGTAGAAGTCATGGATAATCTTCTCCATTGCCCTTCGGGAAGATGTGATAGATCCATCAGGACATCGGAGGCCAGTCATCTTGGTCTTGTAGTTGGAGAAGGACAGGCAGGCATTATGAATGCTTTTCCCGGCTTCTGCCACATCTACCAGCACTTCTGCTCTTCTCTCTTTGAGGTCTTCCTTGATTGCATCTCTGCACTGCTTTGTGAGTTCATATTTGAATTACTTATTTTCTAATTTTTTTCTATAGAAACTACATCCTAGTTACTGAGATGCCAGTCGTTGGAGCAAAGATGCTGAGTTCCAAGGACAAACGTGGAATTGTTGAATGCTTTAACCTTAGCTCAACTCTGAACCACCCTTAATTTTATGTTAATCACCACTGAGCCATGAAACTAGAATATCAACTCCCTAATTCTAATGTTAATACATAATGTATACACAAACCCTGCCAGTTCATTGTATTTAACCTAAATCTATTCTTTACACAGTCATCCTCCATACTTGCCCTGATGTGTGAATCATAGTAAGTCACCCAATAATCTAGCTCAGCCTTTAGACTTTCTGGCACATCTCAACCCAGCCATAAACATGACGAAGCAATGCACAAATATACAAAAGAAAACAGGTTTCAATCTGGAAATACCAACTCATAAAAAAACCAAAAGTATTTTTACCTTCCTCCTTTCTGTATCCTTTTTCTTATTCATTTCTCCTTTTATCAAATTATTTCCCTATTCTCTATCTTCCTTTTCTTTGTATGTAGTATTTTATGGTATTTTTAATTGCTCTGAAATTTCTTACATAGTTCTTAAATTCATTACTTTTTTCTCATTCCCATAGCTTTATAAATATCATTTATTTCTTTTTATATATAATTTTATTTATTGAATCACTGTGAGAGCAGTTACAAAGCTTTCAGGTCCAAGTCTCGGTAATACAATGAAATACTCGTACCTTCACCAGTGCCCATTCTCCACCCCCAACAACCCCAGTATACTCCCACCCCACACCCTCCCCCTACCTGTGGAGCAGATGATTTCCACATTACTCTCTCTCTACTTTGATCACATTCAATATTTCGACACCAGACACACCATTATTATTTGAGATTTTACCCCAACACTCAGATCTGCTGAAAAGGCAACAGTAGACAATTTGTTTTCTATTGCTGCTTATGAATAACATGATGTCGCATGGCTGCAGTAGTGGCTGTGCAACTTTGAAATTCCAAAATTTTAACACTTAAATCTGGAGGGATTTCGCCAAAACCTGCTGGGTTCCAAGGTTTGCTCCTGAGTCTCTGGGATCATAGCCGTTAAGAAGCTTGATCAGGAGCCAGAAAGGCCATTCACGAGCAATGACTTGGGGTCTCGTTGGGGTGGGGAGGACAGGACCGGCTCCACCCCCATCCTGTGAGGCCCAAAATGTCTCATCACTGTGGGCCCAAACCTGACTTTCCAATGGCCTCTGAAGGATGATGGCCACCGAGCAGCCAGGGGGAAGCAGGCGGAGGGACAACACCCTTTCCCCTCTGGGGTGGCCCGGCGACAGTAACCTACTGCAGGGTC